AAAAAAAAAAAAAAAAAAAAAAAAAAATCTTAGTTACCATAAACTATTCAGACATATATGATTGGGGACTCTTGCACTATCGTGTGCTTAACATCTGAAAATGAAGCAAGTGTAATTTTACCTGTCCTGAAAACATAGATTCTTCCATCTGATATGCTAGTTTCAAGCATAAATTTATGGAAAATCCAGATAACAAAGATATGGGCAATGGGCTAACTTCCTGCATCACCATGTATCTCTCATTTGACTGCATATTTGTTCCTGATAACATCTCTGTTATTCCAGCAGATGTTAACCAATTCATGACTGTTTCACAAGCAGGCTGCGCCATGGTATACGATACCACCCAAAACATCCCAACAGATCTTTCGTCCATATTCATATAGTTCATAATTCGTTCACCTGATATTTGAGTCCAGCTTAAAACACTAAAGAAGAAAACAAACACAAAAAAGGCACTCATATAAAGAGCTACTATTCACCAAAATATACACACTAGTATTCAAGAAAAAAAGACTCAGCGTTCTTTGTTATATACGATCAATGGTTCTGTACTGCATAAATTTGGATTTAAGAATCAAATTTCAATAACTTTCACTTTCTCTATTTACGGATACAGAAAGTCACCTAAAAAAAACCCGAGCAATTGCTCAGGATTACAATTTCTAGCTTTGAAGGTGGGGAGGGGAGGGGAGCTGGTGTTAAGAGAGAACTTCCTGTAGAACTGTTTGAATTGAGGATACTTTGTGAATGCACAATTTGATACAAGTCAAAGTCTTGAAGTGTGTATAAGAATAACAGGCCAAGTGCACTTACAAGTTTAACTATAGAATGGGTAACTTTTGATTACTCTAATGACTAGTAAAAGACATGTTCGTTGCACGTGATAAAATGACCTTAATATATAAGTTACCGATTACAACTATGGAGTTATACACAAAAATTGTAAATCACTCATAATTTTTTAGTAGAGAATGATAAAATAAAACATCATTTTTAGCAAACTATTTTAAATTTCTTAATATAGAGAATGGCATAAAAATAATCATGTCTATCCAATTGCTTTAAAAATAATTTATACGTGTGCTCATTTCCATTCTTATTATTTTTAACAGATCAACAATTATATGCACTACTACATTAAATTGAACTTATATTTTCATGTCTATTATTATATTTATTTCACACTGAAAAAATAAAGCAAATTGCCTTCAATTACTTGCATCTTGTCCAACAATGAAACTAAATTTGAGTGGAAAATATTCCTAATATATTTAACAAATTATGTTTTTCTAAATTTGTCACGAACTATATATTCTGTATTACTCTGACACCAATTCTGACATAGTTCTAACTTACTCTTAATTTGGTAACAACGTTTCATACAAAAAATGAACATTTAGGTTTTCGGACATGTGACTATTCTAAACTCTTATTTCTAGCATAATTCCACAAATATTTCCACATTTAGGTTTGAATTCCACAAATAACATCATGCCAATCATTTGTGTTATACTTAATTTTGAAATATTACTATTACAATACATAATCATGAAAGATAGTACTGTAAAAAAATCAATTAGTGTTATAATAATCAATATGGATTTTTGGCTCATTAAGGGCTTAGAAAGTTTGTTGTAATTGTTTAATGAGTAGTGGTTTCTAGGATAGTAAGGTTCATGCGACAATTCTACACTGACATAGTTCTAACTTACTCTTAATTTGGTAACAACGTTTCATACAAAAAATGAACATTTAGGTTTTCGGACATGTGACTATTCTAAACTCTTATTTCTAGCATAATTCCACAAATATTTCCACATTTAGGTTTGAATTCCACAAATAACATCATGCCAATCATTTGTGTTATACTTAATTTTGAAATATTACTATTACAATACATAATCATGAAAGATAGTACTGTAAAAAAAAATCAATTAGTGTTATAATAATCAATATGGATTTTTGGCTCATTAAGGGCTTAGAAAGTTTGTTGTAATTGTTTAATGAGTAGTGGTTTTTAGGATAGTAAGGTTCATGCGACAATTCTACACTGACACATGTTAACCCTTGGTTGGAGGACATCCTCGGTAATTAATAGGTCGAATTTTAACATATTTACCTTGGTGATAGATGAGGCCACAAGGGACATACATAAAGGTGATATCCCTTGGTGTATGCTCTTTGCTGATGATGTGGTGCTAGTTGACGAGAGTAGGGCAGGGGTAAATAGGAAGTTAGAGCTATGGAAGGACACGTTAGAGTCGAAAGACTTAGTAGGACGAAGACCGAGTACATGACGTGCGCTTTCAGCATGGCTACACATGATGATGGTGACGTTAGCCTTGACGGGCAAGTGGTGGCCAAGAAGGAGACTTTTCGGTATTTAGGATCGATGCTACAAAAGAATGGCGGCATTGATGAAGATGTTAGGCATAGAATTGCAGCCGGTTGGTTAAAATGGCGTCAAGCTTCTGGCGTTTTCTGTGATAAGAGGGTGCCACAAAGGCTAAAAGGTAAGTTCTATAGGACGGCAATGTTATACGGTGCTGAATATTGGCCTACAAAGGCAACATGTCCAACAACTAAGTGTAGCAGAGATGCGTATGTTGCGTTGGTTTTGCGGGCACACAAGAAGGGATAGAATCCGGAATTAGGATATTCGAGACAGGGTCGGGGTGGCTCCAATTGAGGAGAAATTGGTTCATCGGCTGAGGTGGTTCGGACATGTCCAACGGAGGCCTCCCGATGCACCGGTGCGTAGGGGAGTTCTACAGCGGGTCGATGATGTAAAGAGAGGTAGAGGTCGGCCTAAACTCACTTGGGAAGAGTCTGTTAAGAGACACCTTAACGATTGGAATATCTCCAAGGATTTAGCGGCGGATAAGAGCGCTTGGAGGCTAGCAATCAACGTGCCAGAACCGTGACTTTTGCTCCTTTCTCTTTTGCTCCAATCTCTTCCTTTTGTTTTTGAGCCCTTTTTGTGTTTCTCTTACCATTGGTTCTCTTGGGTTTCATTTCTAGTCTAGCCCAACTTGTTTGGGACTAAAAGACTATATTATTGTTGTTGTTGTTGTTTAACATATTTTCTAATATGTTTATAATAACAGTCATTCGATATTTATGTTATTTAAATACCATATTAATTAACTCAAAGTTACTTAAAAATAAAATATCCATATACTTATAGGAAAATTTAAATTTATTGTTAAATATTCAAAATTTTAAGAAGTGTGGTGTCATAATCAAATGTCTTAACTTAAATAAAATTAGTTTAATAAAAATATCATGAATCAAGCAATCTATGCTTAGCTTGCATCAAAGCAACTTTTGTTGTGGTGAGATTTGAGTTTTCATACTCTGACTTTGTAAAAGACCACAAAAATGACACATAACCGTTGTTTGATATCTCCCAGTAAAATATTAATGTCATGAATTAGCAAAAAAAATAATACCGCATCGTACGTGAGGTCATTTAATATAAATAAGTTGCATTTAATACAAATATATTCACCATTTAATAATAATATGTAATTTCAGTTACACAATTTATTTTGACATGTCACATTTTGGATGGTCCCCATTACTGTAACGCATTTTTATGTCATGAAATACAAAATATTTTTGTTTTTTATTTTGATACTATATATTTTTTGGGTATTATATAAATACATATTTCACAACTAATTTAAAATGACTACAAATATCTCTATTTCCTATTGCAGTCATAGAATAATAAAGAATATTATTTCGGATATTACAAAGATACATCAAATATTTTGAAAATCAAATCTCAGAGTCACGAGTCGAAGACATTTAACGATAAGGATTTGTTGTGATGAGAATTCTGATGTTAATAAAATTAAGATTGTTTTATATAAAGAAGTGTTTAATAATATTTAGATTAACTTTTTTAAATAAATTTTTTCTCATTCATTATGTATGATTTTTTATTTTATTCTATATTTTTTTAATTATTTTCTCTTCTATTATATTATTTTTCGTGCATATGCACGGGGTAAAACTAGTTTTTATTGTATACTAGTATTTCCATTACAATCATGCTCAATATGGAAAGTATGTTGGCAGCTCGATGTTTTTACTAATGCATTGGGCCCTATAAAACTAAAGAAAAGATGCAGCTATCATGGATTTTTGTAAAAATTCAAAACAGCAACTAAACCTAATTTCTAATTGGATCGGAGGAGTGGAACTTCTTTCCCAACTCCGGTCCTACCCTGTTTACGTGAACGTGTACACGTTAGCATTTGCCAGGATGGCGGGTGGCTTGGGTATTAGAGATATGGAGACTCATAATTTGGGTGCCAAACTTAGATGCTTTGTCTTCGAACCAGAAAGGCGAGACTGAACTTTCTCAACTACTTCTCTATAAGTTGCTCTAAGTTGCCATTACCAAACCTGCTTTTGTTTGGCTTTGTGCACACTAGAGCAACTCCTACTTAGGTGTGACCCAGGCCATTTAACTGAACTAGATGGCAAATTATGAAAAATCTTAAAAGGCAATACTACTGAGGTAAGGTTTGTTACCAAACTCATGGACGAATTACCTTTGCTAACCTGCCTCCACCATTCATCTATTTGCTTTCCCTTTTGAAGTTGCTCGTGATTCAGATATTCTCTGGTTGATGTGTTCAGTGACCAAATTCTTAAATTCTGACAACTGCTAATGAAATCCAGCAAGATACTTTGGGAATTATTAGGGTCAGAACCTCTATCTTCTTTATGGAATGAAAGGATTTTTCTGGTCGTCTCCACCTACAACGAAATGAAAAGTCAATCAAATCATCATTACTTTATTGGGTAATAAACAGGTATATTGGCAATAGAGCTCAAACCAAATGCATTTCAGAATCTCTTCTTTTGTTCATCATCACAATAGGTAGGTCAGATAAAACATTGATGGGCTATATTAACACTCATTTCTCAAGGGTGTTGGTCGATTTTGTACGTTTCATAGGTTCGACAGGCCAATTGCAGGGATGATGCAATTGCCGATGCACTTGCCACCTCTCGCCATGGCCGCGCCATTTAAAACTGTGATAATTACTTTGGGACATCAATTAAAGTATCTGCCCTGCAATTCCTGTCTAAAACTGAACTCAAAGCTACGGCACAAGGAGGTGTAATACCCATATATCCACAACATAAAAAAACTAGGATTCAGTTTGGGCTCAAAGGTACTGGCCAGCGCCTTAGAGCAGCCATTGCATGAGAATGGGAGAGTCCAGAAAAGTCTATTGAAGAATGAAGCCTGAAAGTACACATTCCAAGCTTATGACACACATTCTTCATAATGCTAGCAGAGCAGTTGATGCTATTGCAAAATTGCATTGACAAGCAAGTGAATTATATGCTTTCCAGGTTATCATGCTTCCCAAGCTCAACCGGGTGACTCTTTGCAACTTTATATAATAGCTCTCTCTCTCACACACACACACACACACAAAAAAGAAGAAAAACAAGTTTAAAACTATTTATCAATAAGAAAAAAATTATATTTCAACTACTAGGTTGGGGTTCTTTGCCTAAATCTACCACCCTTGGGTTATTTTAAGAAAACAATAACGGCAAATGAAAGAATGGAATTAAATGCAATAGAGAAGATGTTTATGAGGAAACAAGGAAAAGAAAATACTCTTTAGAGTGGGTGAACTGAAATTCAAAATGAAGCTGTAAACTTTAACATGAACCATAAATAATGAACGTAAGCATTGGAGTAGATATCATTACCACAAAATAGAGATACACTACCTTTCTCGAGTCTGAATTTAGAGCATTCATGACAAGCTCAACACGGATAATCTGTGCTAGCAACCATGTAACGTGATTTGTCCTGAGAACATGTTGATCACCACCACCTTGGAGTCGAGAAACTAGCTTGTCGACAAAGTCAACAAAATCAATGCATCCATGTTTCATGAGGAAAAAGAACACATCTGAAAAGATAAGCCACTCCTGCCAACAGTTTGTTTCTGCAAATCAAACAGAAAATCAATTTTAGACCATTTTACTAAAAGGAATCACAATACAGTGCCTCAGCTTGCAGAAAAGTTAACTTAGTTCGCACAAGAAGCATCCTAGAGGAGTTATAAATGCTTCAAAATGAAGATTCTTGCAGAATATATAGGTGACTGAAGATAACCGAAAAAAGAGGTGCATAAGTTAAAACCAGAAAGCCAAAAGAGAGACTATAAAAGATTATGGTTCTTGCCTGAATTTGTTAACTTGAGTAATTCCACTATCCTATCTATTGTTGCTTCACTAATCATTTCAGAGGTAAACACAGCCCCTGGGGTAGGTCCCTGTGTATTAAGCCTATGGCATGGTGCCAAAAGCAGCACACGTCTCCACCAGTCGGGAGATGGAGTGTTGCGGAAAGCATGTCTTAGACATCTCAGAGCTCGTTTCCAGTCAAGACTCTCTCTCTGAATTGATGCCGCAAGTTCCTGACAAGAAGATAGAAAATGCAGGATTTATGGACTAAAGTAATACACATGTAAAAATTCTACTGAAAAGGGGAAAGTTAGTTATTATAAAAGAAGCCCAACCTTCTTGTAATATCCACAAAAGCTAACAGATACAAAAAATGGCTCTTAAAAAGAAAATGAACTCTATGTCATATTTTTTTCCCTCCCTTCACATTAAAACTACTTTGATTTCTTAACTTCACTCGATTTAAATAGAGGACTAGCTTTCCAAAAAAATCGAACAATTAATAGATAACATTACTTCTCCATGCAGAGGCTCTCCAAGCACACTAGGATACGTGATGGGAGAATATCTCATGTTAGTCACTGTTTCGCCAGATATGTTGGCAGGGGCCTGAGGCAAAAGTCGGGGGGTTCCAAACGTAGGGCAGTGAAGGTGTGCATCTAGCATCTGCATGTGGGTCGCCATCACATCTCTCCTTCTGTGAATCTCTAAGATAAGGGTGAACAGCGCCTCATCATCCGGTATATTCTCAATAAACTGCAAGCCACTACGTATCAGCTCATAGAAGGGCACACGGCATTTATTATCCTCGACCAAAAGCCAAATCACGTCTAAAGAGTTGTGCAGCCACTCGATGAGAGCCTTGTCGGGTCTCCAGGATTTCGCACTATCGAATTCATCGACACCTTGCAGTTTCTGATCCCAACTAACGAGCCAATTCAACATGTGGTTAAAGATATCTGCGCGTGTGACAGGCATGAGATCAGATTCAAGGCTGATCAAAATAATCTTGCAGCACAGCTGGCGTAGACTGCTTAAGGCATTTTCTCTCGCGAAGAAGGTGGACCTAGCTGACTGTTGACCATTGATACCAGTAGATTTCATGGGAGACGATTTGGCACCAGATGACGGCTCAGGCACTGACTGTATGGGGGACCCAACACCATGAACCGAAGGCAAGGGAGATGCGGAACTTGATAGCTGAAAATTAGTGGAATTGGGAACGGCATTTGACTGGGATGAGGTGCCTGAAGTAGTAGCAGCTACTGTTTGACTGCCCTGACCAACACCGGGGGTCTCAGCAGAGGAAACAGAAGAAAGAAGAGAAGGCAAGAAGGCATCCCAGTTTATGCATGCAATAGTGCACAAACTGCGTAGAGCAAAGAGCAAGAACTCTGCTCTGGGAGCATGACCACAGCATTGGATAACCAGAGATATCAAAACAGATTCTGTTACAGCACGTAGTTGCTCCTGGTCCTGGAAAATATAAGCAAAAAAATTTCACTAAACAATAAATTATGAGTCCCAACCAAAGATTTTAAAACGAGAAGAAGAACAAGAAATTTAAAGTTATCAACTGTTCACCTAAAAGCTTACAGGAAACTGACGCTGTATCTGCTCGAAATCCTGTAGGAACTGCTCATTAGGGGGAGGAAGGTCTCTGTTAATAGCAGTAACCCGCTTCTGTGTCTTGTTGCTGTAATTTACTTAAACATTATGTTCCAACAAATATAATATCAAATTAAGCACAACTGCACAAGCCCGGTTTTTCCCAATATAACATATAAAATCGCAAAAACAAATGGAAAATTCAATGCAACAATTTCTTCCTATCTTCTTGAGAGGAAGTTCAAGAATTTCACATCTAGCAAGACATAAATGATATTCTTTGATCAACTAGTATGAGGGCCAATGAGATATGCACGAACAGGGTAAATGGCAAACTCACCCTCTTGACAAACCAGTAAATCACAAAGCCTGCTACCATAGTAACTAAAATTTAGTTTTTTTCATAGACCAAAGCTAAACTTGCTATATCACAAGAATATATACTTTGCAAGTATTTTACTATAATAACAACATAAGGCATAATTTCCGTAAAAATATTCAGACTATTAGCAACGTTTTAAAGTCGTTCTGAGGGAGTGATTTAGCCACAAGCCATCTGGACCCCAAACAAACACTAACTAAAACATCCTTATCTGAAATTAACAAGAGCAGATATTGTAACAGAAAGAACAATTTTTGAATTCCAGAATCCAACTATTATACATGGAAGATTTCTCTAGCAAGTGTTCATACTACTTGCTGCTCCGAGTGACATATATGCAAAATAAAAAGGGTAAGGACTCACGGTGGTTCTTTAACTGAATCGTCCGATTTCTGCCTTGCATTCCTCTGCAAACACGAAGAAAATTGGATCACTCGGGGAAAAAAAAAAAAAGAAAGAAAAAAAAAATAGAGCTAATAAAGAATGGAGTCGGGCCAACGCACGCCTAAGTATCGATTGAAGAGGTCGAGCAAGGCGGGCCGGGCCGGGTGAAAATGGTTTGCCCGAGAGGAGGAAGAAGAAGAAGGCCGCGGTTGCTGCTGCTGCTGCTGCTGCGTGCTGTTCAATTGCTCCATCTCCGAAAAAGGCTGGTGGGTGGGTACCCCCGCCGGAGCCTGAGCCGAACTTCGCTGCATCGGCGGAGCAGGAATTTAAATTGAAGATTGAAGAAATGTAGCAATGGATGTAGCAATTGTCTTCTTCTGTTGGGCGGAGTAATTTGAGTCGAATAGTGGACTTCAATTTGGAAATGTTTGTTCGTCATTTGGGATTTGTTTGCATATAAGTTGATGTATTTGTTTTAGATTTCTTGTAACAAGTTTTAGAAATGATGTGGTATATTTAATTTAAATTTTTTAAGACTTGTAAAAGTCATCATGTATTTATTTAAAATTTTAAAAAGCCACGTAAGAATAGAAGTGTTTAATTTATTTGAGACTGAAATTTGTTTAAGCTTTAATAAAATTTACTTAGATTTCAAAAGAAAAAACTATATACGAGATGATTTTATTTCATATAAGTGTATCAAATGTAAATTTTCAGAGACTTTTTAAAACTTTTTAGAATGAGTAAATTTGATGGACTTTGTGAAAATTCATTTATTTTGGTAGTCTTTCTGAGATTTTCATAAAATTCGAGAAACTTTCTCATGTACTTTTTTAAACTAATTTAAACTTTTATATACTTATAGTATAATTAAATTTGCATTAAATGTTCTTGAACCTTGCATCATAACCAATATAAATAAAATCAAGCTATTTTTTAAAAGAGAAATAATAAACTGAATGAGTTTTGCGGAAGCTTGGTTCTACAAAACATGAACCTTCAGGATAACGTCTCGCTCTCTCTCTGGAACTCTTTCATTCGTATAAGTATTTCGGCTATTACACCAAGGTTTTATAATACAGACTTCATCTCCACTACCTTCAGTATAACCACCTATACAATTACTTTTTCAAACTTGTGCTTCGGCAAAGCTGTATCAGCCGTGTTCGTGCATGCCCGTGAGTTGCTACACTGAAATTTGACTACGGTTGAGCCGAGCTGCACATAGTCAGCGAGTAACACGTCTGTTCTGAGTGTCGGTCCGGGTAGTCTGGACGGTTCCAGAAATTTCAGTCAGATTTAAGAATAGAGGTGTTTAATTTATTTGAGATTGAGTTTTGTTTAAGCTTTTATAAAATTTACTTAGATTTCAAAAGAAAAAAATTATATACGAGATGGTCTTACTTCATATGAGTGTATCATCAAATGTAAACGTTCATAGGCTTTTTAAAACTTTTTAAAATGAGTAAATTTGGTGGACTTTGTGAAAATTCATTTATTTTGGTGGTCTTTGTGAGGTTTTTATAAGATTCCAGACTTTTTTAAGTTTAAACTTTCTCATGTACTTTTTGAAACTAATTTAGACTTTTATATATGTGATATAGCCATGTTATCATCGTCCGATTCAAATGTCGATTATGCTAATGACGACATCAGCAAGTCGACATTCATGAAGTCGACCTGCCCATGAGCTATCCAAAGACCGCTGCCAACCTGATGGCGGCTACAAGACGATTCCCTTAAGTCGACTTCCTAAGTCGACTTTCCTCAAGAAGACGAGTGGATGGGACATAAAACTCCGAGTACTCGTGTATAACTTAAGTCGATTCGACGATACTCGAAGTCGACTTATCCTGCTCGAGATACCAAGACCTCCGACGATCTCCAAACACTTCAATGTATTATAGGAGAGCCCTCGAATAAGGGTGAGTCCTTATGGGATAAGAAGGAATCTGGATGCTGACTAAGAAATGGTAGAATGCGAACCGACCAGGGTATTCTGGACACTTCACGTAAGTCGGTCAGGCCATTTTGGACATTTTACGTAAGTGTTTTGCTCCTATATAAAGGAGTTGAGGTAACTCCAAACCCTAACTTTCATTCTCTCTATTCATTTTCTAGTTGCTGCTCCTACTGAGCAGAGCTCATCTCACCACTCTCACTGACTTGAGAGTCGGAGGCTCTTCACCTGAAACACTTCCGGTGTTGAGTTCTTGCAGGTGTTCATTGCGGTTCGAAGGCGACTTAAGGACGATTCGAGCAGATTGGAGCCCATTTCCACCGGTTCACTCCAGATCTAGGAGGAGACCCATCAATATGAAACGTATATATTTTACGATGAGTGCGCTCAACAGTGTTAGAACACAAGTAAATAACTAAAATAGCGGAAGCGATAAACCGAAGATGTAAATACCCTTCAGGGAAGCGTCCCACTTCCCCTCATAGATCTTTCATTGATAAACCGTTTGTGCACACTTGTATAGTTTAGACTTACACGACTCGAACTCCCTTCTAGCCTAGCCACAACTACACACGATTCTATCAATTATTTCTCTGGCCCATGTCCCGTGGACTTTCTAACCAACATTTAATCCCAAAATGTTAAACACGGAAGAGTATAAATAAAACAAAGAATAAAATGAAAACAAAAAACAACTTCAGTTCTTCGGTATGTAAGAACACCGAAAACTGAACAGTAAACAAAAATAAAGAAAACAGCGAAAGGCTTGAATCCTCAATTGAGGCTGCTTGATGGATGTGAATGACAAGAGTTTCAGCAGCCATCAATTGATCTTCAAGTAGGGTTTAAATAGAATCCTTAGGCGTGAACTTCCTCAGCAAGTTCTTTCCTTCTTCTCGTGATTTTCTTGATCCTTTTTCCAAAGATAGTGAAGTGACATGGAAAGTTAATATTCTCCTTGATCTCTTTGCTATGCGTGTGCGTCCTTTCATCATCTTAAAATTAGATCTTACAAAATATATCCATAATAAGATCATGCAAATAATCTAATTAAAATAAAATCGTACACACACACACACACACACACACACACACACACACACATATATATATATATATATATACACCAATAAAAGAACTTCCCTTTTATATAATTATTGTGCTTGCAGGAACACATCTTCAAATATTCTAATTTATGAACCAATGTCAAAAATATATCTTTCAATCTCACCCTTTGGCATCTAGTTCGAAAATAATATAGTTGAAGATCACCTGAAACAAAGTAAGAACAACAAGCACAATATACAACAACGCTAAGCAAAAGGGTTAGTTCAACTGTAGCAAAATTCATCACAAGATAATAACTGTACAAACACAGTCCAAACATAAAGCTCCTGCAGAAAACCAAATCACTATCATACTAAAATCCATCACAAAACAGAGTTCAAAACACATCCAAGCATCTAAAAGCAGTCATCAAATGGTACCACCCACAAAAGCAAAAGATAAAAACGAGGTTCTTATACATAATAATGCAGGCGTGGGCATCCTGGCCCAGTTTGGAATAGATCACCTTCGTTCTCACCGATAGAACGCCAGAAACCTGCAAGTAACTCTCACACCAGGGGGTTTTTCCGGTGAAGAGCCTCCGATGCTTAAGTAAGTATGTGTATGAGTATCCTTGAGTTGAATAATGGAAATCGTGTTTAGGAAGAAAGGCTCACCCCCTTTTATATAGGGGTGAGATACCTGACCTAAAGGCTGCCCGGGTATGGTGAGCTGGCTGCCCCAACTGTCCGTTCGTACTCTGACATGCCGCGCGTGTGTCAGAGGTAATGCTGGGAATTGTCAGAGGTGATTGTCGCTGTCAACCAATGCATTCTCGCCACGTGTCCTCTGCACATGGGATGATTATCCCTCTAAATATTCCCCTGAAATTCGGTTAGAGGCACTTACACGTGCCTATAACTAGGTCGATCTCCAGAATGCTGCCAACCCACAGAGTGATCGATCTATTGAAGTAGACTCGATTGCTCGACTGCTCGACTACTTGACTGGTCGACTGCTCGACTGGTCGATCTTTCCGCTACTTGGCCTAGCTTACTCACGGTACAACATCTTCGACCGGTTCGACAGACCGGTTTAGCCTTGTGGGTATAATATCCTATATCATCTAGTCCCCCCCACTCTGGTCGAGTCTGAATGACTCGACCTAAGAGTGAATTTGAGCTCGCCTTCCTCCTAGGTGATATTATGCCCGATATCGACCACCTGATAAGTTTCCCGCTACTTTTTTCAATTATTTTCCCTTTAACCGCCAGGAATAAAGTTGTCTGCCACGCGTCCTTTCTGCCGCGCCTGCACACCGGCCACTTGTCGTACCTATCACGTCTGTCAAGCGCTTTAATTATTGCACCCTCTCGCATAACGCGCCCATTTTGAGCTCCGTGTGAATTAAATACTCTCCACCATGAGATCTTACTTTAATCTAACGGTTCTTATCTTCCAGCCCTTCAACTTACCATAGTATAAAACCCATACTTAGCAAATTTTCAGAGTTTTTTTTACCTTTGCAAATTTTGAACTCTTTTACTCTCTGAAACTTCTCCACACCCCTAGCTTTTTGCTCTCGACAATTTCCCCTGCACTTTCGAGGCTTCTTCAATTCCTTCAACCCCAATTATGAGTAAGTTGTTCTTCACTTGAATTTGTGTTTCCTGTGCTCCAAATTTATATGCTCCTGACATTTTCGCATTGGGTACCTTGATTTTGTTTGTTGAATGTTCTGAATTTGTGCGTTTTGCCTCGAATTTGTGCATTGGGTGCTTTGATTTGCTTGTTGAGCGTTACGAATTTTGCTTTTCCTTTGAAAATCTTTCAAAATTCCTGCTCTTCCTCTTTTTAATTTTTCAAAATCGCCTCCTCCGGAATCCCTAGCCTTTGAAAGTCTTTTCCCTTCCTCCTTTTTTCCTTCACAGAAACACTCCTTTTTGATATTGCTCCTTTGTTCTTTTTTTTTTCAGACTCTGCAACTTCCAGTGAAAACGACCATCACTCCGGTGCTAATTTGACTTCTCCATCTTCCTCCACGACCTCTGCCTTCTCTAAAACTGTTCAAGAAGTTCCTTATATAGCTGACGATGTCCCTCTCTCCATTCTACGCCCCGGCGATACTGAGCCTATCATTGTCTTTACTGCCACCGTTTCCTCTAACTCCGGGGATACCGTGGACAACATTCCCCTCCGCCGCCGTTGACCTGCTTTTGGCTCGCTCGATGAGCCAGAGGACGAAGACGATCTCGATACCATTCCCCTTTCTTCTCGATTCACCACTCCTACGCCTGCCGCTAC